CAGCAAGGCCCACACAGACTTCCTGCCAAGTTCCATTCACACTCTTACTGCTGTGCTTGGAGTCACCCCAGCAGCTTCTGCTGCCTGGAAATAAATCCTGAACTCCCCCACCACCATGCTTTAGAACACCCCAGAGCTCACCCTGCCTGCTCCCAGACCCATCCTTTAGCAATTCTCCAGCTGACTTCAACTAGCCCTCAACAAGAGTCTTCAGCCCTGTTCTGGGCCTGGGAATTTGCTGTTACAACTGCCTGACACCCACTTCTTCTCATGCTTCCTGTACCATCTTTTCTTTCTACCTCAAAGCACCTCTCCTGGAGACTGGAGAGATGGCTCAGCAGTTAAGAACATTTGTTGCTCTTTCAGAAGACCTGGGTTCAGTTCCCAGCACCTGCCTGGCAGTTCACAGCCTGTAACTCCAGTTTCAGGGGATCTGATGCCCTCTTCTGGCTGCAGTGGGTACTGCACACACATGGTGCTCATACATGCATACAGGCAAAACACTCTTATGTATATAACAATTTTTTAAATAAAAAAAAATGCTTTTAAAATACTTCCCCTGGGTTCCGGGCATTGGTGGCCCACGCCTTTAATCCCAGCCCTCGGGAGGCAGAGGCAGGAGGATCTCTGTGAGTTTGAGACCAGCCTGGTGTACAAGAGCAAGTGCCAGGACAGCCTCCAAAACTACACAGTGAAACCCTGTCTCAACCCCCCCCCAAAAAAAATACTTCTCCTGGTTATTTTAAATAAAATGAATGTCTCCCTCGCTGTACCTCTTCAGACCTCCGTAGTCTTGTTCTATTAGCATTCTTTCCACCTATGCAGCCATATGGAGACGATTGTGTATTGTTCCCAACCCACTACCGCCACAGCCAGGGTCAAGAGCGGGGCGCAATCACTTTTGAATCTTGTATCTGAAATTTACATTATGACGCTTACCTGGCAGGGGAGCTACCATGACCACAAAGGTGTCTTCCCCAGGGTGAGTTTTATCCATGGCACTCCTGATGGGCTGGCCCCTGCCATTTCCCCAAATTTGGGGAATTTGACTGTAAGTGATGTGGTAGTGGGGGCTGTGTTGTCGCTCTCCTCTGGGGGGGGATTTATATCATGAATCCTGACCATGAATGAAATAGAACTTAGATGTGGTACCTTTCGGGGTGATTGGTTTTAGATGAAGTGGTAAGGGTGCTGCCTCCATCACGGCGTTAGTGTTTTATATGATGGGAAAGACACTAGAACTGGATTGTGCGCTCTCTCTCTCTCTCTCTCTCTCTCTCTCTCTCTCTCTCTCTCTCCCTCTTCCCCACCCAGAATTGTCTGTCTTGTGGAGACTCAGTGCTTGTAACAGAATCTATTGCAAGCTCTTGATTACGCTGGCTGTGTCATACCCAAAAGATATTATCTCACAGCCCTTCTCTCCCTGCCTATCATCTTCCTTCTCTCTCATTCTTTCTGCCTCCTCGTCCGTAATGGTCCCTAAGCCCCAGAGCAATGCTTCTCAACCTATGGGTCATGACCCCTGGGGGGCGGGGTTGAATGACGCCTTCACAGTGGTCACAAGTCAGATATTCTGCATATTAGATGCTTACATTACGATTCATAACGGTAGCAAAATTACAGTTATGAAGTAGCAATGAAAATAATTTTATGGCTGGGGGTCACCACAGCAAGAGGAACTGTATTAAAGGTCACAGAATTAGGAAGGTTGAGAACCATGGCCCTAGAGGGAAAGGTACGAAAGTCTTGTTGAAGGATGAACTCAGCTGTCACTTATCCTCAGCGTCTCATGCAGACACCGGTTTCCACATTCACCACTGTTCCCTGAAAAGACAGGTTTCTTTGATTAAGGCTGAGGGACAGTTATGCACGGGTATAAATACATTTAGAAGGTAGTTTGACGTTATGTCATCGTAGCTTAAAAATAGTACTAAGTTCCCCGTTGGAGCCTAAGAGTTCCCCAGCCGAGAGTTTCTACTAGATTTACAGTAGCAAGCATGGATTCCCTCCTGTTGAGCAGGGCTCAAATCTAATCAGAGAGTAATTAGTTCTCCCAATGACAGGCATGCCTCTATTACCCAAGGGGACTCACCTTGCCGGGCAGGTTGGTAGTATAGTTTGTAAATTTCACACCGTCTCTGCTGAGTTATTGGCTATTGATCAATTCTGGGAGAGAGGGAGTCATTGCCTTTAGTTCTGAACCTACTGGCGAGCTCGCCAGGCTCCAGTAGATATTTCCCAGCAGGTGATAACACGGACAGCAATGGTTAAACGCTGAGTCTCCAAACAAAACCAAAAAACATGAATGAGAAAAGAAGATCTATCTACAGGGAGGAAAAATTTAACAAGGCGGGGGGGGGGGGGGGGAAAGTAGAGGGAAAGGGCCAACATTGTGTAGTATACTCTCAAGAGAGTAGATTTAGAGGACCATACGGAAACCATTCAGTCTAGAGACTTCTTCTATAACTCAGAGAGGAAGGATCCCAGGGCGGCTCCTGAGAGAAGCGTCTCT